AAAACTCTGTGGGTTTTATATGCGCTTTTATGCATGCATAAATGTGCGTAGACAAAAATTCCGTTTGTACATTTTTTGTTCTAAATCTGTTCTTTTCGCAGTAGCAATATGGACCTCCTTGTGGAGAATGTAATACGATGTAGTTAACTAAGTGAGACAGCCAAATTAGAACTACTGAACGAGCAGTGACATAAGCGTATGTTTATTTAATAATTTCAGCAAGTTCATTCACTGATAAAACAGTACTGTCAAAATGTCAATTACAACTGTCCACACAACAGTAATAAAAATAAGTCTTCATATGGTTGTTGGATATTCTCGCTGACTCTGGATTTCAATCGAAAACTGCAGTTCCCACACGACACAACCGTAGACGAGGTCACAATATGGTATGGCAGAAATGTTTACACCAGTGAACAAAGCAAATGGTCCAACAGCCCATCTCCTTTGGTAGTCCCTTTTCTCAACCTAAATATAACTGTTTCCTTGAGCCTCTTCCTTCACATACATGACCGGAAATAAAACTATTCAAGTATTTTGTACATTTTATACATAAATTTATCTTCAGTTGGTGTCGGTACCATCATCAACTTGTAGTGTCCTGATTTAGCCGAGATTACAAGTACCTGACCGGTCAATCCAGAGGTTACACAAACCAGTCATTCTGAATTCCAAAAATTATAAGTTTCATGATACCTAATATATCTGTCTGGTTTAACAACGGTCGTTAAGGACTTCTTTTGGTAACACCCAACTCTTCGCTTATACTGAAGAGTTAGATTGCTCCGATAAGCAATCGGTTTATCGACCCCACTGGATATTTCTACGTGGAGAACATTTTTTTCCGCATTCACAGTGTAGATCGCCAACGTAGATGATCTAAGACTGCGGAAAATTTTTAGTTCAAACTCACCGTAAATTTCTAGCATTCGTATCCTCTGTTTAGCCATGGAACTCAACAATTGGGAATTAGGCAGGCAGTGGTAAAAAAAAAGTAAAACATTCTAGTGGATAGTGGTTAAGCAGAATGATGGATTTATAGTCGACAGTCAACCTTGTCTCGCTTATACCAGTGGATAAGTTACAAACAGATGTGCGTTCGTGTTGCCTTGTGGCTATACTCACGAGTGGTTTATATTTTAACAGACATATTACACAGGAGCATTTACATGCTGCTAATGCTTGTTAAGGAACCACGATAGCCGATTATAAACGTAGTTGATTAGTTAGGTGTATCGATTGAACTAATTATTTAGGTTTAAATGCTAACCAACATTGACATGAAGCAACGAAAGTTCACAGTAATAGATTGACATAGGCGATGATAAAAATGAAAAAGAATAAGTATAGAATGCAATAATAAAGATCATAGTGATAGGTTGCGATACTGGAAGTCTTGCTCACCAGTGTAGATCACCAACGTAGACGATCTATGTCGAAAATGATTGCAGGCCTACTCGAGTTAGACGTGAATGGTGTGACAAACTAGCTAACATCGAAGTCACACCTCATCGTCAGCACCTTACGTGGACTACCCCATTGACGTATCAAGGTACCATAGATGCTTTGAAGACTGTACAACACAGAGGACGTTATTACAGAAATATATTAGTTAGGGTAGATACAAGCGAAAGTAAGACCACTGCCGCATGGGCCTGTCCATGGCATATGATTAACTAATGCGCGTTGCTTGTACATGACCTTGGCAGGGAGCGATGATCTGTTCGACATTCAGTGATCCAACTGCCGGATGATTTGGCTAGGGCTCAGTGACATTTCACTGGCCCTACAATACTCCCCCACCAGATTCAACGGCCGTTTGAATCGGTACCAAACATGTTGGGAGCAGTCGCGCGCCGGAGAGTGCCAAACGAATATTATAAATTCTCCAGATATTGCTTATCTGTAAAAGAAATGGAAAGGAGGCGGCAGAAACTGGTCGAGAAACAGCGAGTCATAATATGTTAGTAGGTCGTTGCTTAAACGTAAATTGATTAACCATAGAAATAATGAAAAGAACAAAACGTTTTATTGTTCTATCAAGTCGCGCTGAAATATATAGCCTTGACAAGTAATTCAGTTCCTCCGATGACAAACGTTAAGTCTGCCGCAAGAGTAATGATGCTAAAGCGATAGTAGGATAAATGTATCATCAATCGATGTCCATGTTTGTACTGTCATTAATTTAGATTTGTAAGTCGGACAGTGTCGTTGACAGCTATTAATTAGTGTCGAATTCTAGTTATATCTATATCTAACAGACTAACCGTAATTACAGAAGTATGACCGTGAAGGGTGGTCGTGATTTCGTTGTGAGAATCTATTGACCAACTTGTAGTCACAGTTTGAAAAGTCGATGACTGCTGTTACAGTCAGTAAGGTTCGAAGGCTACAAATCGACAACAAACGTGGCACAATGAAGTCTCTAAAAGATGATTAACGGTGAGTGCTGCGTGTTTGTTCGGTAAGTGAACATAAAAATATCGAAAAGAACATAAGAAACCAAGAGTGTCACTCTGGACTCATGTCAATAATACCTGTGAAAAACGCTGTCAGTGTTGGGATAGAGGCGACAATATCGTTTTCAGTTTGCAGGAGATTTGCTCGACTGCATAAACTGATGATTCGCGCGAATGATATTGTCGTCAGACCACTTACTGAACTGGACAAGTTTTAAATCGTCGAGTAGTTGAACGACCGATTGATGTACCGAAATCCTCTGTTAGATAACAGCCACGAGGAAACAATACTTCATAAAATAAAGTCCGACGCCGAAGTAGAATAACTACAATAGTTCGGATGTGTTACAATGTCAAGTCTAAATAACATCGTTCTTACGTATACTGACAGTTGCACTGAACGTTCGTTTAGGTATTATTAGCGTAACAGTTGGATGTATGAATAAAAACATATACGAAAACTATGGTTGGGTTCGTGGAGAATTTTCGAGGACGTTTAGATATTTTCCATATTTTCATAATCGAATGATTTCAAACCCAGCCAAACCAAGAATCAGGGACAAAGGAGTTTGTCAGTAGAAAAATCACCGGTATGAAGTGTATCATTGGTTGCTATGAGGTAGAGAACCATTGGGCATGATGCAACAATATACTCAAGGACAACGTTTGACAGCCGACTCTGAATAAATATCATAAAGGCAGTTCAATTAATGAACAGTTGTGATGTTCTGTTTAGACTTCAGTGCAGTGCATCTAAGGCATGTTTAAGATAGTCAAGTGAATGGATTTTGTTAGAGCTAAACAGGATCAGTAGTTTCAATATGACTACTTGAACGAACCGAACCCTGATTAAATCTGCAGTTTCAAACAAGTTATCAACAATCTAGAACTGTGTGACTATGAAAGGAAAATTATGTCTACTTAGTTTTCAACATATTGCCACTTGTTCTCTATTTTATTCGAATTAAGGATAGTAATAGTTATGTATTCTGCTTGTCAGATAGTGCACATAACATGAGAATTCGCCAGCCACGAGAAGCATGCTGATACTGGATAGATAGAAAGACAGTAGACACTTGTGGATATGTTACTCTCAGGGTTTATTCTCATGTGGTATATAATCAATTATCTCAATAATTTTGACCCTTCAAAACTTTGATCCACATTCCATTTTCCGTTCTATTATGTAGCATGCGCAGCAATAGCGCTTCCACCAGTACTTACATTATAACTACAAGGACGATTAGAAGAGGTGAAGGTCTAAATTCAGTGGTTAATAGTAGTTCAAAAATTTCCGTTTCTAGCAATAGGGTTCTAAGAAAGCTCAAAATGACACCAGTTAAATAACTTCATAGTAATATGTACTAGATGGATCACTAAACTCAGACACCAAAAGTGAATCTCAAACCAAATAATTTGAACCACACTCTTTCCCAGGTCTCCTTTTCTGATAAGACTAATTAACACAAAAGGAGAAAATGGCGTACTAACTTGCAGTTTGTCCTGATTACTGGGTAGAAACAACACAAAAACAACCATTGTACAGCATGTTAGTTAGCGTTACAGAATTTGATCACAAGTTCTGCGGTAGCCGGGTTCGCTTCCGCCATGATGCCTTAGTACTCAAGCAGCACCATGGTTATGGTAAGCCACACCCGTTCGTGGTTCTGGTACGTTATCTGACAGTGTAGAAAAAATACACTAACTAATCTACAGAAGGAGAAACCCTAGACTCCACTGGAAGCAATCGTATCAACCCCCAAAAGTGTATCGAGATCGTCGAACACAGGCTCAAATAAACACGCGACTATGGGTGCAACAACTCATAGACCAATGAAATTATCGTATGTTGCTAATACCTTTAAATCTATTTACAATGAGGAGCAGAAAGTGGGCAGTGAGAAGGGAAGTGGGGAAAACAAAGCTCTCAAAACTCTAAAAATTGAAGACGAGGAACCTCCCTCACTGTATTTAGTGTCCCGATGTCGGATAGCAATTTATTAGAAAGTTTGTCAGCCATTTACAATGGCTGACATACAATGTCGGGGAAGGACTTTACTTTAGTCAGGCTTTGCCGCTTGTATAAGGGCCAAAACGTAGCAAAAGACAAGCTCTCTTAACTGGGGGCAACTTTGGATTCAGCACACGCTACAGAGGTTATCTCAGAGAACACTGTGAAGAACCCTCTCAGATCCAAGTTGGATACAAAAACAGCTGTAAACTCACCAGATAACCAATAACTAACCAACAAAGTAATTCACGGAGTGCTTGAACTGGTAAATTATATTCGAACCGGATCTCACTAACGCAGTATACAATTCAGACGTCGGCTATCAAGTGGCGTAGGCCTTCGCACCATTACGACGATTAGTGCGTCCGGGCAACCTCGTCCGTCGTACTCCATGATCATTAAATCTTCGCGTCCGAAGGCTGTAAACTTCAGAAGTCGAGAGAACTTAACGGCGGTCATTCAGGCCTAGCATATTTATAGTATTCTAATTATAGTATGAATTAGGAATTCCAGGATTAAGAAGACACAGGCACCAACGAATGTATTGTACTTAGAATTCGAAATCAAACATTCAACCAGTACAAAGGTATCATTAGTCCATTCAAACACCACATCCGCCACAGCTTAAATAGAAGTATAAGTGTTTGTAATCGGTTGTACGTCTTCTTGTTAAGTTCATCCTGAGTCTGTCCGACATTGTATAAGATAAAAACTTTGTAGTATCTAGAAAGTGCTCATTAGTATTGGAATTAACAAACGAAATCGGAACAGACTCACCTAGAATTGTATACAATCAGCATATCGGTTTTGTATTGAAATCATTAATATCTAGAATTTGAACCATAGATTTTTCAACCCTATCCTCCCCCACGAAATAATGTTGGATCTTTATATCCCCAAGTTATGAATAATGTGGCTTCATTTAAAACATATTTCTCACATTGTTTAGAGTAAACATTAGAAGTGTTTTTGTGATAAGGGTAAACAGCAGTTGATATGAAATCATCCGAAATGTAATCAAACTCGAGGTCACTTAGTACTCGTGCTTCGCATTGGGCAGGTTTTTCACGAGGATCAAATGCATTATGAGGATAGGTAATATATGATATGACATCAGGATTTGATTCTTCTGAAATATTCTCATGAAATTCATTAGGACTGTCATTGCAGAGCGTAGGATCGTTAGAAAAATCAGCATCTATCCAAACCACATCAGGTTTCCGATCATGATTAGGTTCATTTAACATATTTTCCTCAATATTGCAAGTAATTTCATTAGAAATATGTGAATCATTAGGAAAAGTCATACCTGGTACAATAGCATGAGAATTCTGATAAATCGGTTGATTAGGAACTGTTGTCTCACAAGAATTCTGGATTTCATCTAACTCTGAACTGTCATATGACTCTGCACTGTCTTTTGAAATCGTTGATAAAGATAAATGATCATTAGAAACATCCGAATTATTTAAATTTAAATTACAAGATTTAGTACAGCTTGAAGCAAAATGGACAATAGCTTGCATACTGACTGAATGTGTCCTACCTTACCACATTTAAAACATTCAGCATTACGAAATACACATAGATTGCGAGCATGAAACTTTCCACATGATAAACATTTACCAAACTTCATCTCACCTTTGTGATTTGCTTTGTAATTCGTCGTTGAAACACCTTTCATATTTACACGAGAATAGGAATCACTGTTAAATGAACGCAAATTTGATTGACCCTGAGATTGTAGTTCATCATGACGACTAAGTAAAGTATCAGAAATCTTCATCGACTGGATATCAAGTTTATTGACTGCTTCGTAGTTAATACACGCAGTCCTAGCATCTTGAAAGGAACAGTTTGGCATTTTTAACAGCTCTCTTTCCAAACTCGGTATGTTAATTCCTGCAATTAATCGATCTCTCAGTTGCACATGAAGTTGATCACCGAAATTACATTTGGCAGCTTGTTTCTGTAATTCAAGGATGAATTCCCGAGCCTTTTGGTCATTTTGACGAATCATCTTATGAAACTTCGCCCTTTCACGGCATCCAAAACTGGTGCATTTTACATGACTTAATAATAGCACTTTAAGAGTTGCATAAGGGAGTGAGATAGGTTTTTCTGGATATGCTAAAGTTTTTAATAAGCTGTACGCTTCTCTCTCAATGAATGTGAGGAAGTGTGCCACAATATTAACATCCTCATCATCTTCTTTGGTCATGCTCCAAATTTCGAACCTTTCCAAGTAATCCTCAATAGCTTCAGGAGTTGAATGAATATCCAACTTTTCCATTGCAGGTTCCATCACGACGCCAATATAGTATTCTAATTATAGTATGAATTAGGAATTCCAGGATTAACGCAATCGAATTAAGAAGACACAGGCACCAACGAATGTATTGTATTTAGAATTCGAAATCAAACATTCAACCGGTACAAAGGTATCATTAGTCCATTCAAACACCACAATATTCCTAATAAGACCCCTCCAATCGCATCAGATGTCGCGGAGGCCGACCTTGGTTGGTAATGCAACAGCAGAATAGCCCCATGAAGCATATCTTTGGGTCAGTAGATTTTATTCAGCAACTCACGGTACAGAACGCAAAGATCACTGTCCCTCTAATGAAACGCGATATACAGACAAAAATCTCACACACTTTAAATAACAGTCTGCTTAAGACCCAGAAGACAGACGCTGCGGTAGTGGAGCATCATATGATGAGATAAATTATCAAGTGACCTTATAGCAACGTAAGAAGACTAAGGAGTAAATTAGGATCAATCCGAATTGTATGCTTTCAGTCAGATATGTGTTGTGAACGGGGAAATAAGAAGCCCAGACAACTGCGAAAGCTATTTTCTTGGGACGTTATTTCATTTCATTCAAACCTTGTAAAACACTTATATTTATTTTTGTCCCTATTTTATTCTACATAACATGAGCTTTCGTTCTGTGCAACATTCACTGCCATACCTTTTTTGTTCCGAAAATATTGTAATTTAAACATAATATTTTGCATCTTATTTTCTACCCTAATTCCCAGTTTCGGGCATAATTGTATTTTTCCAAATTATCGTACGTTTTGGTCAGGATATTCACTTATTTATTCATGTACATTTTTTCACTAATCCGAATTCAGAGAATTCAGAATTCAGTGTTCTAACTGTCTTGTCTTCTCTCACTTGCGTGCTTGCCAACTAATCAGGTTCTAGTATAGTTCTCTCTCTACCCCATGTCGAACTCACGCGTACTAGACTGAAGGATAACCCGCTCAGCCTATCGCGCCAAGGTCATAATCTAGACTAGACAGATCAAGCTCAAGTCATAACAAAGTATCGACGGGGTAAAAGCGATTCAAGGTCATAATAATATGACTATCAAATTCTTAACTGAAATGTGACTTTCGTCATATCAGACACGAAGTGGAAAGGAGAAATACATTAACAGACACATTAAGTTTTAACAACACACAGTACCGAATTAGCTGAGGTGACAGAACCTTGCTGCCTCAATGAGAGCAGGACGGATTACATGATTGGAGGAATATACTGACTCCCAAAGGTTCTAACACCGCAAAAGGTGAGACAATACTGGGTATATTAGAGCTGTCACACCTGGTATCTGACCAAATAATACTAACCAAAGATTTCCATACTCCATGCCCGAAACTTAGAAAACAGGATACACCTCTACAGGGTGGTCTCATAAGCAGCTTACCACAGCCATTAAAAGTTCAGGAATGACTGAACATGTGGGTGGCGCCATGACATGAGGCAGAGATGGAAAATCCCCACGAGCATATTATCAGAACACCAACATCACTTTCCTCAATGCAACCCCCGAAAAATTGAATATCAAAAAGAAAATACTCAATTACGACCTCGATTGTTGCCACTTAAAGTTACCCTCCTTTTAAATGCCTTCTCAGCTGAAGTGACCACAACCCCATTAGTGGGCAGCTTCAAGAAGAGACTTGACAAACACTTACCCTTAAATTACCATCACCCTATTGAACCACTTTTACCTGATGTAGGTTTCACAAATTAGTGCGGTCATCATATGCTTATATCAGTAACCATTTACTGTGTCTTCCAATTTTTTACCTATTAGCAACTAATAGACTTATTTATCATTCTTGAAACAGTCTTCTCTTAGAATTGAAATAATCAATTTATTACTTTCACATTGTAGTCAAGCAACCTCTAACCTGGTGACGTGATGACTATTGGTACACAGAAACTTCACTATTCTGAGACAATCGTACTCGACCACAATACGAGATATTCAGATACACAAATAACTATCGAACTGACTAGAATTAGTGCAATCGAGTAACAAAACCGCCACCTATTTAAACTTCATCAAATATCTGGAGCCGTACCGGAACGACGAGAAGCAAGAGCCAAAAACTCAATCGGTTTATGCTAGCCCGTGGCGAAGACACTGAAGAAACAATCTACTATTACTCTAGCTAATCCCTTAAGAAAACCATACAAAATCTCCAATGGAGATAGAAAAGTTGCGAATTTTCAGAAACCTGCAAAGATGGTTCAAGAAGTTTCTTGTTGGTCACTGATAAAAAAGTCGAAAGTTTAAAATAATATTTAGTTACGTCAGAGATGAATAATTTTGCTATGACCTTCAGGTCACTGAGAAGCAATATTTAGAAATTTGGCTCATGCTGAGTTTCGGTCTTTTCGTTTCCCACTGTTCAGAAAATTCTGAGGTATTTAAAAGTTAGCAAGTGGATCGAAATATTTTGAAAAGTTTACTCCATGTATATGTGAGGAGGAATTAGTACTTAGTAGCGTTTTCATCAAGTAAAATTACGAATATTCATTAATGCTTCCAGTGTAAATTTTTCGGGGAAAGTTAACAATGTTGTTTAGCTGTCACTCATACGTAACTGTTGTTGAAAACTGTTCATGCAAAAAATGTTGGTAAATTTTCCTTAAATAAACCACTATTTTGACTTGTCGAGTGCTCCAATAATATGGTTGCTCTGAGGTACTTAAGTCGAATTTCCTAAGTATATGGGTGGTAGTAAACTAGTCCATTAAGTTTTGCGAAAAGCTGGCTATTTAATGGGTTAATATTTGGGGAAGGTAAATAATTTAATGTTAACACTGAAGAGGAGTATATAGTTTGATATTAATTTCACGTAGTATACAAATTGCATTTATTTCTCAGGTTTCTATTTGCTTTGGTTTAAATACGTTTAAGCAATTGCTAAAGGATTACTTAGCCAAAAACAGATTTGATTCCGATCTTGCTTTTCATTGGGAGGAGTTCTGGCTCCTTCGAATGCTCATACATACATTTATTTCTCATTATTCTATTTTCTCTCGCGTTCTTCCTATGTTAGCCATCCTACTAAGGCTCACTAAAATCATATTACACTTGAAAAGTTTTTTAGTTACGTTTCTGCAGCTTGCCTCAGTAATCCGATCTCACTCAACTACCTTCAAACATTTTGACTTCTAAATACCTATCTAATTCGCTATCAGACTGTGTAGTTAAACTACTCATTAAGCTCCATTGAGTGTCTTGACTGTTCTACAACGTCAAGGTGCGACTGTTGACTTATAGTAACTTGTCAGAAAAACATTAGATCACACCAAAGATGACCTAAATTGGCATAAACATCTCGGTATACGTAAATTTATCTCATCACCCAAGTCACCACCGGCACTTAGCCACTCGTATGCACACATTTCTCACCTGCTTCAAAATGGTCATTATTAAGAGAGTACAATCGTTTAATCGGTCCTACTTAACCCTGCTGCTTGAATAAAGCAATGGAGAGAGGTAGATGTATGCTCTCACTCTCCCTGAAGTATTTGTATATAGGATTTTCGAGATGTTAATAAACTTCTCAGGGACACCTCTTGAATAGACGATTCTGAGGTACATGTCTGTCCAACAGAATAAAGGCGGTCCTGATGTCAAGAAATGCAACGGTTGTTGGCCTGGAATAAGTATGGTGAGGCCCTAATATTCGGTGAGGGTGAAAATATGATCAATACATATACGTTCAGAACGAGAACCAACCTGCTCTTCGCGAGTCAACCTTTCCTAAGCGAAGTATGGCGGAAGCCATAAATTTGGACGCAGTCTGAAGTAGAATTATCCCTCGATAGTTAATACATGGGTGACGCAAACTTTTCTAAAGATAGAGACAGCTATTGGCTCATTCCAGGGTGTCGGATCACTTTAATTCTTAAACCTTTGCAAACAACTCAGCCAGTTTAATATCCAGAAGGTCACCATCATTCTTTATTTATTTATGTGAACACAAATATTGGTACATATGCGCCACACAAGCCACTTAATTTGTGTGTGGGCCTTAATACTGCCTAGGTGCCCAGACCGAGACAGGTGGTTTTACTAGGGGGCCACACCCAGAACCCTCGACCTAAAGGTATGATCCACAAGGCAGTGGAGCAACGTCAGATGCAGTCCCATGGTAGCCGGTGACCAGCAATTGGTTCGTACTCCATTTGTTCCCTCAGGATCCTGTAGCCTATGTTCACTATCGGTTTTAAATCAGGGTTTTTTTTAACTCCCTTAGGTGGATCCTCCATATTCATCAAACCAGTCAAAGCGCCGGGCATTCGCTTTTCATCCTCTCAGTTTCGTATACAACACTCCCGTGAGTAAGATTTCTCTGGCAGTGGTTGTATGCACGTGACCATGTGAGGGCATTTCGAGAGGGAGAGCAAACTCTCCCCACTGTTGGCCGTACCAGGGCATTAGGAGGCTCCGCCATCCTCAATATTACCCTTATTTTGTGAGGTGTTTTTGGTCCCTTAATATGATTGTATTTGTGTTTAAATAAATAAATATGTTAGCAGTAGATGAACATAAATCGGTAAGTAGTCTAGTCTTGTGTAAAATAGCTTGAGCTTACTTATCTTTTGGCCATGATTTTCAAAAGGTTGTTTGAAGGCACAAGTAGCTTTGGAAGTTATTAGTCCAATTTTTTTTCGCATGAACGTATCCTTTTCTCATTTAATCAGGTTACAAATACACTTATTTGATGTCTATATCTTATCGTTACACTTCTCTGTCAAATTTATACAGGTCAGAGATCTGAATGCAGTCGAACTTCAAGATGTTTTAAACACTAATATTTCTTCAACGTTTTATCACACTATCGAAACAAGCTATTGGAAAGCTGCACGACTTTCCAGGGGATGGATTTCAATATTTAGTTCATTTTTTGCATTTAATGATCCATTTGCAAAAAATGCACATCAATTTCTAATTCAATCTAATACAGGATGCAACATCCTTTTCTGCTCAGGCCAAATACGCTCATCAAGCGATATAACTCTTGCAAAACACTTTGACTCTGAGAATATCAGTATTGGTCAGGTTCTACTAGATGCATTTTCTAAGGAAAAGAACGTAAATGCTGTTGTTAATTTAATCAATTCTTTGATTGGTTCTTTTGTACTTATATTTGTTAGCGTAAGTTATAGTCAATACTTACCATTTAAAAACGTTTAGGTTGAATCACACAGGGTTTATTTCACTCGAGATCCATTCGGTCGTCATTCTCTTGTTGCCAGAAAGTTTTCAGGACTACCTAGTGAATTATTTTGTATCGATTCAGTTTCAAGTATTGTTATTCCAAGCCAGTCTTCTTTTCCGGAAATTAGTTTGGATTCCCTTGTAAGCTAATTTATTTATGTAACTGCTCAACAGTGGACTTTGCTACTTTAATGTTCTGTTTTCACCATTATCGTATCTTCAATGTTTGTATTCATTTTTGAGTTTATTATTTTCCGTTCAATTTCCTAAAATAATAGATACTTTAAGTCTAAATCTCCAAATGTTCATCCAGCTTATTAACTGAAAGCGTAGTAGAAAACCTCACATATTTTTGTTTAAAAGTTCCCTAAGTTGCCTTAGAGCATTTAAATGAATGTGTGGAAAAAGTGATGACATAATTGTAAACGAAGCCAGCTTAGAAATGTTACAAACTGGCAGGTAGAATCGATGTTCTCACATCCTAATCAGTCCGGATTCATTTTTTATGAACTTCGCAAGACGATCTTTTTTTGGATCGCCATAAGCTGAATAAATAGGCTTGCTTCTGATTTAGTTGATCAGGAATTACATATATTAGTCAACAGCTTTATTTCATTGTCCTTCAATGGATGAAATCTGCATTTAAGTATCTATGTGTATTCAGATACCAGATTGTTTTCTACCCTTTCTTTTTTGTCATGTGGTTATTTTTTTATTTTGCGATAAAATGATAACTAATTCATACTTTTCAATCAGTTGAAATAATTTTTATTTAGGAAAAAGATGCAAAGGATTGGTTTGAAATACCTGCTTGTGGAATATTTGTATCGAAAATCGTCTGTGACAATAGGAATGTTTTTCTCTCAGATATTAATCTATATCCTTGGTCTGAACAACATTTACTTCTGTGCCCTTCAAATATCCCATTTAAAGTTAATAGAGTTTTGAATGTAAATCAAACTCATTGTAATAGCCTTTCTACAAATATGTGTATACCCACAACTTTAAAAGAAGTACAACAAAAGTTTTTGGATTTATTATCTGCTGTTATACACGATTCAGTTAACTTTGACTTGCTATATTATACAAATTACTCTTTCAATGTATCTGATGTATTGGACGATAATCGGTCAGGTTCTTTATTCGGTTTACTGTTTAGTGGCGGTCTAGACTCATCTGTTATCGCAGCATTACTTGACAGGTCTGTCAGTTACACATCACTTTTTCATGTGGTATGTTTTTTCTCCCTAAATGGGAATTCATTTTCAAATTTGAAAAATTGCTAGTATTTGTTGCCACGACAATCCTTATAGTTTACATAAAGTGAAATAATTAAGAACTATTAGTGTAAAAAATTAAATAACTAAACAGCTACATCATATAAGAACCTGAAACTGTTAGTGTTACTCCACTCAATCATTTCTAATTCAATTGGCGCAGCAGGATATTGTTTACATTTTCGCTCACAAATCCGTCGACATTGAGTGAATTTCACAAGGTTTTAGGTTGTAAACATATTAAGCAAACTTATATTCAACCTCTTCAACTATCGAATTAAAGGCTTGAACCCTGCTTTACTGAATTCGGATTCGTTAACTGGATAGTATCACTATTCCTCATATAATAGTGTGACCCAGAGCTAATTATAGAAACTTATACTTGGTTATTAAATCTGTAGATAATTTGTGTGTGCAAAGTCATTGTGATTCATAAATTTTGAGAGTAAACGAGATGCCACTGATTAATAAAGATATTACTGGGTTGTATAAGTATTATCCCAAGTTTTGTTGTTAATTTTTCATTTTAATGAAAGTGATATGAAGACAAACCAGCGTAATGAATTTTTCTTTTGACTATCTCATCTACTGAAGCCTTACGATAATATTTTTGGCGATCTAATAAATATATTAATCTATTGGAAAATAGATTATCTTATTTTGTGCGAAACTTGACCTACCACAAAAATGGTTCAAAGGTCAAAGTACAAGAGTAGAATTTAAAAAAATTACGGGTCAGGAAGAAATGTGTGATGGTTGTTCACTTGACAAGTGTGAGAAAGAAATAAAGTGCGTGGTGATAATAGCGGCTGAATAGTGGTTACAAAAATTTGCGAGAACTATGAGAACTAACTAATTTGTAAAACGAAACAAGAGAAAAAGATGGAATAGATGCTAGGGGTGTAGTAAAATAAGAGATTACACTTGATTGTTTTGGACAGAGATTTTGTAAAGCCTCTAGGTTGGGCACATTTTTAGTTCGTACTCCCTTAGAGCTTATTCACTTGACTATGTAAATAATTTTGAAATGTAATTCTAGTGGGACGTGATCAGAATTTGTTAAGTGATGAGAGATATAGTCATACAGTTTCAGGAAATGATGTCGTCAGGAAGAAGTTTCCTTCACTGAATTATCTTTATCTCAGATTTTTAATTTTACTACTGATTTACTTGTTTAATGATGCTGAGTTCTTACAAAACGTAACATCCTAAAATCATCTTAATTTACTAGTATTTGGACTCTTGATTGTTTTGGAAATGTAGCCTTCTCAACGTATCATTAGTGTAACGAAATCTTAATTAAATATACTAATACTAGCAGGCTATGCTGTGGTGTTAATTCTAACGCAAACAGTTGAAAATACGCTTTATCTTACTATGAAGTAAGATACGGTAACTTGAACCTATATACACATGTCTTAAGCTCTACGTTGTATATTACTGACTAACTGAAGATACAGACTTCGAATTCTGGAAATGCTTGTGGTTATATTCCCGATATGCTCCTTCTGAATTTAAACTGTAAATCGTGTACAGGCTACCTATAGCTACCTATTTAGACTATTAGTTCTCTTCTTTCATTTCTTTACTGCACTGATACAGATATTGAGTAAACTCAGATCTTTGATAATGGAAAGACACACCATTTACTCGTCAATTAATTTCAGTGATCATTTTTTCAAAGCCTTATGTTCGATGAAATCAGACTAACTTTCACAAACACGTAAGTGTTTTATCTGTACCACGGGCTTATTAATTTGTGCTATCGAATTTAGCAACTTGTTGTTAGTCATTGTAGATAATTATTTGGGCATCTGAAACTTTTTATGATTAATTATTTGGTTATCATGTTTCAGCGTATTAGGTTATTTTCTGCAAACAAGTGTACTCTGCATGTTGTTATTCCCCCGTAGATTTGTTCCTGATGACCAGTCCATCGATCTGATTAATGTCGCTTTCCAAAGGAGATGTACTGGTGTTTCTGTTAACAATAGGTCAGTTAATTTTCATGATGCATTCTTTCCAGTTTCATCTTCCCGACTTTGTTCAATTAGTTAGAGATGGTTTGCATCGCCAATCCATATCGCTTCATCAAAGGTTAATAAATCAATTTTGCGTAATCTTCAAGCAGTATGCTTTTACACTTAACTTGGTATCAGGCTGACATTTTGCTTTAAGCTAGTTAATATATATAAACTCTGCTTTGGTGTGCTGTTGTGTCGAGATGGTCTTCTGGCAATCGAAAGGAGATAATATCATTGTCACAATGTGCCGATGAATATGCTGTGGCATTACATTGCTAAGATATTTTTAAGAATAGTCAGCATCTCCGTTATTAATTCCTTGTGGCTATGTAAGTGAAGAATGTGAGAGCTGTACAACCCCTTTTATGTGTCTCTGTGAAGTCCCATATTTTAGAATCAAGTTATGAGAATCATTTGTATCCTTCAATTTTGATCCTGATGGTTTAATTCTGATATTCTGGAAAGGATTTTACAAGAACTGCATCTTATTAATGTTAGTCTGTTGTCAAGAGGAAGACCGTTGGCGTTGTGTGTGTGTGTGTGTGTGCGTATTAAACCTCTTTACAGTGAAATAATTTATGCACGTGCCAAATCGAAACTAGTCATTTGGTGATCCATATATTATAACGACTTTTCACCATCGAAGTGTGATGAATGTCTGCTAGACCAGGAGGCTTCTGTTCTATCATTTGCTTTTATTGGTGAATCTTCGCTAATAGCCCAGATGTTTGTTTATCTGGGCAGTTGTGTGGTTCGTGATTGTAATGGGATGATAACGTGTGTTTAGGCAATCGTTGGCGATCTAGAAAGTATCATGATCTAGAAGAAAGGGATTCAGTAACTTGGTCAAATTTTACACATATCGTTACTGTGGCTTTTATACCACACATCACCAGTCGTTTCTGGAATTGACTGGAAAGAGTGAGGGTGGTCAGTTTAGAATATGGTGCTGTGAAACAGACAGTAACTGTGTTGGGTTAACAACGGTTGGCTAGTCGTAACTCCATTAATGGGGTCCTAGATATATAACCTAGTTGTTTAATATGTTATCATACATAGCTTAAAATAAAAGACAATGAAGATCCTCTCCCAGTTTTTCTTAGGTTTTTCCTAAGTAAGAAGATGATGTACCAAATAAATAAAACATATCTTAACTGCATTCCTGTTTGAATTTCATCCTTCAAAATTTTTCATTATTTTTTTATTATCATTTAACTACTACCAGATCAACAGACTGTCACGAAACGAGTTTCACTTGTTGGCATTATAAACAACTGACATTAATGGGTTTTTTAATTAGTTCAGTCCATACAATGTAGTATGGAACGAAAGTTATTATACCAAATCAAGACAGGATCATTGAAGGTATATTCTTGTAAGTACTTACAAACTTAAAAGTCTACTAAGAACTAGGTACGATAGTATACAAATCTGTGCGGAATTTAATGTATCTTATTGTACTTCGCATTGACCTTGTTCAGTGTGATATTTTTGTTCTTGTTATCAGTATATCATTTCGTTTCATTTGACGGATTCCTCTAAGCCTAACTGTACTAAGCTGTCTTCTGTGTTCAGAATAAATCAATGGGTATAACACATGATAAAATGTGTTTCACCTTTTTGTAACAAATATTTAGCATTTGAGTTATTTAAAACATTGTCAAATAAGCTAGTTCCTATAGGTCTAATATTTGGGACACATCATTCGTTTTCTTAAGATTCTGAAATAACTATTCTTCATTTATCTAGGAAGGAAGGCTTCCAGCGCCTAAATAAACACTGTGGATAATCATTTTCGTTTTAATAACCGATATTTAAGTGGTTTCATATAAGAATTCAGAGTGAATTTTTGAAAAGCAAAGTAGAAAAATGTCTTTCCTTTGAAAACAGCAGTTCAACAGAACTTCGTGGTTTGCAGTTACTATTCGGATGATGTAGTTTTGTGGTCCAATTTGTTTCCTCAACTAATAAGTAGTTTTCATATACGTACGTTGTAAAGCTTTTAGCTTCCACTTCAGTCTCATTTTTTCACCTTTCTTTATCATCAGTGATTGCTTGGACAAAGACTGTCTAATTTCCGCCGAGGAGGCCCCTGACAGACAAACTGCCCTGAAAAGTTATGAAGAGTTGTGCGAATTATCTGCCCGACGTAAATGGAATTTGATAAAAGTAAGTCTGTGTAACCATGTTTGGCCAATTGATTGTGAGACGTCATCTTCTTGTCTGTAATTTTCGTTTTTATCTTATACTACTCGCTATTGGTAAGTAGCTCGAGTATTTTTAGTTATTTCTGTCTTTCGTACAAGAACCATGGCTGACAGGCAGTTGGGACGACCTTGGTATCGCGTTTGTGGATTCTTCTATTTTGAATTTAGGATCCATCCGCTCCTGTTTATAGTGGAAATCTTCCTTATCTGTTCACTGCTATCTACATTTTAATCTACAGTAGTCTTATTTGACTTACGGATTCTCGAAAAGAGTGGACAATTCGTTTTTGATTGAATGTTCACGCCTTACTGAAGATGCTTCTGTTTTATAGCCTACAGGTCAATTTTATATCTTATGACATCCTTTTATGTATGAATAATATTTGGATATCGAGAACTCCCGTTTTAAGTTGTTATTATAGACCATTATTGAAGGAAAATATGATTCTTCGGATGTTGAGGCCTTGAATAAATAATTTTTATTTTATTTTTACATATCGTGAGCAATTATTTTAACTCTAAAAGTTCTTACTAATTCAAAAGTTAGAGACTGATAACTTTTTAAAGTATATACTGGGTTTTTATTTGTTTCCATCAATAAAGATAACTCAACATTCAGCATAGCATGTAAGTAACATTGCTGTGCATAGTTAATTGATCAGTTAAAAAAATGTATTTAGTGTATACAATTTAACAGTTGTCACTGTTTACCCTGTTCTCCTCTCTTGATATTACCTGTACAAAGTTAAATATTAAACGTCATTCCGTATGTTGAATTTTATTTAAAACTATACCGAATTAGAGACGACAAGATTCTCTAGTGTACAAACATTAAATGTGGTTCATAATTGAAATCATCTCTGAGTGTTTCTTCCTATACTACTTGAATAAATATATATAACTGAGACGTAATAAGTTTCTTAATTGTTTTTTCTCTTCAATTGTGATTATTTCACTCTTTCTGACCATTTATACGCACCTACATTTTTTTTTCACTCTTTTGTAATATTGTTGATGTTACATTTCATGTTCATATTGTATGAAATTCATGTTTTCATTATATAATAATCATAATCTGGTATATATAAGAATCGATATACGTGTGATAACGTGTTACAATAGTTTTATCTGCTTTTCGATTAATAATAATGGCAAGAACTGGAAATTTGGTTCAGTAGTATTTACTTTCGAGCTTTAACATACAACTAAATGAGGTATAGCAAATTAAAAGTAATATAAGAAAGCCTTTTCGTAATATGATAATGACAAAGTTAAAAATTAATCCATTTATGTTGTGCTTATCGAATTTAAATGTTTTGGCATGAATTCTTTTACCACTGGTTCCTGATATCTCATGAACAACAAATAAAATATCTTTCAACTCTCATACTTTTTAGACAACTGATTTAAAATGTTATACGTTGATATTACACTTTGGTTTGAACGCTTTAGAGAGCATGATGAATGAATGTTTAAAGACTATATACTTATATGCAACCTCTTATATATATGACTACCATTGAAGTAACTACTTTATGAATTTGGTGTTCATCTTGTTGTGCTGATGATGTATGGCAACTTGGACCGATGAATATATGTGCCTGGTTCTACGTTGTAACTGACTGACTGACCCCTGTTAGGTCCCAATAAACATAATAAATGGTAACTTCGGGATCCTTTTATGGACCAATCCCAAACGTATATTTTTATCGTATAATTGTTAAATAACTAGACTATTCATATTCATATTCCTCTTATTATAAACTTTATTTTGACCTATGAACCATTATTATACGTTTTACCATTCTTGAATTATGCCCTGTCTGTTAGACACTGCCTCCCACATTCAGAGCCACATTTGGCCAAATTTTGTACAAATGTTATTTTCTATTTTATGCTACGTTGTGGTCTGTTTGATTGGTATATAAACTCAGTATGTTTGGAATATTAGGATTCATATTGTAGAGGCTGAGACTGGTGTTCTGGACTTAACTGGCTGGGCTAGGCGGAAGGCAGGACCAATCAGGACTCAAGGCTGCTCGCGCGTCTTTTACGCGTCCTTGGTCCGATCGATAATTCTCTGCTTCTGATTGACGGCTTTGGGCTATAACAACCCCACTTCATACATACGAAATTGTTTTAATGTTTTCACTAATGAATTAATTTTCTTATTACTGATATTTCGCCAGCATTATATACTACCAGTGTCCCATCAAAATAATCATTTTTAAGAAGACAAAAAAACACTAACTGGTGCAAAAGCTGGATTATAATTTTGACGTTATGACAAAGTTTCTAAAAATATTTTGGTTTGATCTTGTGGTATACGTGATTAATTGTCCAACTTTAGATGTAAATGTTGCACGGTAGTTTCCTCTGTGTTAAACAGTCTTTATGACTTGTTGATGAATGATTTTCCTGTTTTCTGTGTAAATAGAACTATTTGTTAGTTTATGGGTGTTTATTTGTTCAGATCTTATTTTCTCACTGGATATGGATTTGATTTTCAATTCTTTATCACTTGATACGCATGATAAGGAGCAGGTTTTACCTGACTCTCTGAGTTGTTTTGCTCACTGTTCTTTTTATAACTTGCCGCAAAATGCCCTGATACTTCCGAGAGTGTGGAGAGCATGCTTTCCCTCTTGAAATGCTCTCATATGGCCATGGGTTCATAGCCTCTACCAAAAAATTATACTCTTTGCCTTCATTCAGTGGCATGTTGTTTATGAAATTGAGAGAACGAAAAGCCAACGTTCAGTGCTTGGAATGGTTTGGTGGGTACGAGAACCCCACCTAGGAAAATTATACATCTTTGATTCCAAAATAATGATATGCATAGACTCTAGGATTTCGAGAGGATAAGTGGGATATGAACCTATTTATGGTCGTCAGCTGCCATGGGACACCGTTTATTAACGTTCATGCACCACTTAGTGGATTAGAAATTTAGGTCAAAGGCTGGCTAGTTGCCACCTAAGCAAACTATCTTTGGTTTGAACGCCCGGTTCGTATCTCAATTTACATGTGGCGCATATTACTTTTGATGCTTAGTCATCTCAGTTTATGAAAAGAACGGAAACACTCTTGTGATAACCAAAAAGAGTTTGATACAGTGTCCAAAGTACTAACACTAATAATCACCTGATGCACAACTAGGACTCTTAAACAACAAACCTTAGAAAATTAGGACGGCTTCAGACGCAAAAGTTCATGTACTGTCGAAATATCCACCCTTTGTCAGTTTTCGGGACTCAGACATACCTACTGACGTCCAACCATAATAGTATTTCTCAACCTTTAGGCAACATTCGTCTTAGTTTTTCAACATGTTGTATGGCAGTAGCTGTGTACCAAAACACTATTCGAAAATTGTGAAGCTCCTCTAATCTAACACTATTGGTCAAATCAGAACTTATGGTGAACTGTCATCTAAATTATCATCTTCAAGTTGTATTTGTCAAGATTGATCACTCTCTGTCTTTTTGTTTAATTTCATTATCTTCCTAAAAACCACTCTTCTTTCACCTACCTTTTCATGGGTTGAACTCATTCCAGAAGTTTCACTTACTGACTTAGAATAATCTGGTGACGTTGTTCGGTTTTGGTGAAAAAGCTAACAGAATGTAGAATCTTCTGATTGCTTTGAACAATAATGCAAGCATGCTTGGGTCGCGCCCCCGTTCAAATGTAAATGTTGCTTCTGAACTGATCCGTTTCAGTGTTCGGACTAATAATAGGGAGTGAGTCAGTTGAATGCACTGAATTTTTCACTCATTATGGAAGTCCCATCAGCCCTGGATGGTTTGTGTCTGACTAAAAATTAGTTGACTTTTGTCAGCTCAGAAATAATGACGCAGATACATTCATTCATTATCTCCCCTTAGGCCTTGGGTTCTAAAATTAACTTACACTTTTTGTTCTACATACCTTTTCTTTCTTATTGAATCTTTGTTTACTGTTCTCAAGTTTTTTTACTACCATTGATATTGTTACATCTCCTACTATTCTGGGATTTGTATTGATGATTTCATCTTATTATGCTCATATGGCGTAGCAAATTTAACTAATCCACAAACGTTCCAGGTTCTATGTTGCTTATGACGGACCCACCTAAACTGTAATTTAGTATTCATATGAATGTGAGTGAAAGCTTAGTATTCGACAGACATAAATGGTTTTGATTTTCGCATAATATTGTACCAATCAGCAAATGTTTTAGTTGAATTAATTAGTACTTAATATAAATCTGCCTATTAATTTAATCATATAAGAACAATTTGACCAATTCATTGTATCTTAAACCAGTTTTGTTGGATTCGGATAAATTTTTACAGAAATTAAACTGTTTCACCTTGATAAGTAGCTTCTAATTCGTTCTGTACATGAAAAAACCCTTTTTCATCATCTCTAAGACCATAATTCCGGCATTTTTATCTATATGTAATAGCATACTGTATACTTTTATAAGTTAGTTTTCTTACTTCCCCTTCCAAAGACTTATTATCTTTGTAATATTCCTGTGTTTATTAGTAGACTTCGTTTGTGTAATTACAAATTAAGACAGGTAACATTCGTTGGTTTTTCATTTATAGTTCGCACTCCAACTATTTGTAAAACTGTTTCAATATATATTCTGTCATTTCGAAAATATTTTAAAGTCATTCTCTTTTTGTAGATACTTCTAGTCATTTTTTGCTCACTCGATTGTCGTCCATAAAATCATTAGTTAAAAGTCACTACCACCTCCCTTGTATCGATAAGTCGAGTTGTCCCATCGGCAACTTACAACTCACATTATTGTGTCGAACTACTGAAGTGCATTGATTGATTGGGTTAGCGATAAGCATACCATATAAATGCGTGTGTGTGAGTGAGTTTATATCATACAGAATACTGATAATTAATATGCAAAATGGGTTTTTGTGTGTATTATACTATTTTTAAGACATTCTGTTTGTT